GTAGATTGTTGTTGAAGTACTTGAAGTTGATGGCTTAAAATCGATTGTTACTGTGGTGGTACTGTTGGTTGGCGAAAAAACACTTTCATCATCACTACCTGAAAAATCGTCCAGGCTCATAACTTTTATCTTCATCTATCGAAACACACGTAAAAGGATCTTCCACTTCTTCTTCGTTAAAATTATTACTATCATTTGGCAGTTGTACTTGAGATGTTTTTTTATCTGCATTGGAAGTACAGGAAAGTTTTAAACGCTTTGTTTCCATATTTTAAAATGCTTCTTAGTATTAAGCAGTAGTAAAAAAACAAAAACTAACCTAAATAATAATAAATTTAGTGCAAAAACAAAACGCAAGGGTTGTGTCTGCACGTGGCGGAAGTGATTTGTTTTGACTGGTTCTAAAACAAGAGTGGAAGTTACATTGCGCAGACGCATAATTTATATCTAGACACTTGAAAAATAATCCAGACTCTTAAATAATAATCTAGACTAGTTAATCTAGACAAGACCGCATTAAGCTTTTTTAATCAAGACTTGGACTTACACAACTCTTGTCTTGAAATTTTCAAGGCAAGACAAGAGTAAGTAACTCTTGTCTTGTCTTGTCTTGTCTAGACAGCTCCACTATTCTTTAGTAACTTTTTCTAGTTTGACAAAAAGTCACCTTCTACACTTATAAAACATACTTTTCTGAATCTATTTCAACACAGAAAAAAAATTGTTGGATTTGCTTTGATAATTGTATGAATTTGTTGAACAAATTGGTTCTAAAAAATTGAAAGGAACAATTTGTGCAAAATTGTAGTAAATAATTGTAGTAAACTTATTGTGTTTAAAACTTAGCTAAACTTAATATAAACTGAAACTGCAACAACATAAAATAAACATAACAAAACATACACTAAAAAATAAAATTCGCATAGCTAATTCTAATAATATTGAGATATAATTCAACATGAAGTGGGTCTTCACTTAAGATAATAGTACAAATGTCGATAGATTAAATATGTATTCAGCGACCAACACAAAAATTTTGTAAGGAGAGAATTAACTTAGTATAAACTGAAAAAATAAAATAAACATAAATTACAAACTAAAGTAAATAGTAAGCTGATCAATAATGTAGCACAGAAGGAACATAAAAACACTTGTTATCCTCATTTGATCACCATGTCATATTTATTGATTCACCCCATTCACTGAACAATTTTGCAAATACATTTAGGTATACCTACCTATTCAGAAAAATAATATTCAATAATTACTTATAGTAAAGGTTACTTCATACTTAACCAAATTGTCCAATATTGTAAAATTTATATTCTCAACTCAAAGTAATAATACATTTATACGAATTATTTAAAAAATTGTGCAATAGAGTAACATTTATTTTTGAAATATTTTTAAAAACATATTTCAACTCTTTTCTTGAAAATATTGTGCAAATGGTTAAATATAAAATGTTACTGTTTCCAACAAATTGTAGAAAATTGACATAAACAAGCTAATTAGAAAAACCATAGCGATCTTGGATAACGTAGCACATTTATAGAAAATTTTGCTCCAATGGAATGTTGCACAACTTTATGCAATGTTTTTCAAACGAATTTTTCTCTGTGAAGGTGTTTTAAACTTATTTTCCATACTTATTCTTCTTTAGTTGCTTTTTCTAGTTTGACAAAAAGTAACCATCAGAAATATGTTAACTAATGACTTTTTAGAAAAGAGTTAACCATAAAAATATCTACCTTCACCTTGCACAGCAAGATATCCCTATTGTGTGGACCTATAAACATAACTTGTGGTTTTAATATGGGTGACACTTTTTAGGTTAATATAACAAAGGTTTTTGTTTCCATATGGGATTCTTTCCACCTTTGGGGACCTGCCAACTTAAAAACACACAAAGTAAAAATTAAGACTTCATCACAAGTCAATTACATAGATTTAATGATATAAAAAGGGACGTTATAGGTACTTTTTATACATGGTTGCATGACTGGGAAACTTTTTTTAGGTAATTTTGATAAACTATATCTTCGATGAAAAGCCGAGATATCTTAAAACGTAACCTTATAGTTTAATCAATCAAAAACTTTAGCAGTTAACGTGACAACATGAAAACCCAACTCATATATCTTGTTTTCGTGCTGCCCGAAAGATCTCGCGCGATTACACCGAAATTAATTATTAGTATTTGAATTTGTTTGTTTAATTTTATTGGGTCTAATCATACAAATTTTTAAGGCGCAAATTAATGAAATTCCTCGGTAAGGAATCCCTTGCTGTCAGAAATTTATATTTATGTGGTCCTGGTAGGCGCTCTACGGGCGATAATCAGCTTGCTTGATCTGGCTCACAAATTAGGATTAAACATGTGCAAGGTGGATGTTTGGGTCATTTTTAAACGGACGCCTCCACGTGCCTTAGCTCCTGTTTGGTGTTTTTGGGGAATTGGTAGCTAAAAATATATATATTTCAAACACTTATAACTAATTACCTCGGTCTCCAAATAACCAGACCATATTCAAAAAATGCTCATGGAGTTGTGAATTCTGTATGTACATATGTTACTTAATTGCAGAAATCTGATATATTATCCAAACAAAAATAGTAATTAGGAGAAAATGCTGTTGAAACATGGTTCTCAATCATTTAGCAAAAGAGTAATAAATATCCAATTTAGGAGTTAACTTTTACGAGTGATTGGCAATGGTTTTATTGTTTAATTATGTAACGTGGTTAGATAGATAAAAGTCAATAAAGTTTGTCGATAAGTATATTCTTTAGAGAACAATTCGAATCCTGTTTTGGGTCTTAACAAGTTCAAAAACCGTATGATGAAAAGGGCGATTTTATTGCCGTAATTATTGTTTTTATCGTTATACGACTTTACCCATATAAAATGCAATATTTACGATCTTAGGATCTCACCTGTTTCCATCCTATTCAATTCTTATAAACCGTGGGTTGTCCCATACTCACACCTGACAAAGGAAACCACCAAGAAAGACCACTTATTCATCCCAACAACTATTCTGTAAATAATAACTACTGGATACTACGCCGGATTTTATAAATCTTCTGACTTTTATTATACAACTCCATACGAAATATTAATACGATCAGAATAATCGAAAACAATCCTCACTGCTAGCACATAACATCAAAATTTAGAAGGTAGTTTCTCTTCTCCTAATAACTTCTACGTTGTCATTTTAATTTATTAACTATTTGGAGGTGTAAAAAACATAAACAACATCTTATCTCTTTCATCTAAAACGTCAAAATTATAATTTAAGCTAAACCACCAACCTACCAAGTCGCCATTAAATCATACTCTTTATAACGTTTGACAATCTTTATTTAGCTAATCAATAAAGTCTTCATTACATGACAAATAATTAATTGATGGTTTCTCCTAAAAGAGAGAATAAATGAAAATTAATATTTTAATGGTCTTGATTGAATACCACCATCATTAAAATTGTCAAGATTTTATATTTATTTTAGAAAAATTAACATTTTTTACAGTTGATTTAAAGGATGTGGTTCAAGAAGATGACGAAAATTAAACATATTTTAATTTAAAGGAAGTAGAGCTTAACAGTATTTTCAATTAGATAGATGGGTGAATTCATTGAGATGTCCCCCAAGTGAAAATGGTTATTTTTTATTTTTGGTTGTTTCACTGTTAGTCTAGAATGGGGTTTTTGGGAAGCCACTAGGCCTAGTAATAACATAACATGGTTCTGCACTAATGCAAGAATTTTAAAAAATCATACATTTTGAATATTAGAGCTTCACGGAAGATAGCTTCACGGAGGCTAGGATTTCGTATGTTTTTTAAAACATCCCTTTGTATATTAACCCTAATATTTTTTAAAAATACAATTGTACATAGGTACATAAAATATTTATAAAAAAATCTACTTACTGAGATATTACACTTCACGGTGGATAGGTTTTTAAATAGAAAATTAATGAACTTAAACTTTTGAATTATAAAACAGCAACACTCTCATCTGCATAAAAATTCTAACTGATTTTCTGGAATCACATGCATGCATCTATAATGTCGAAAATAGAGGTTTTTGCTTATTTAAACGGATTAAAGCGCCATTCGTTGCAGACAATTTAAAGAAAAAATAGATTCACGGATGATAATTTTTGTAACACCTACATAAATGGTTATAAAAATTATTTCTTTTAATTTTTAATAATATTTTATATTTGATTCGATTGCTTTGGATGTGTTTAATTTACTTAGTGAACTGATATTTTTAGTATGCTTTTACTACCTCAGATATTTGAAAACATATAGGTTAACCTAGAAAGAGTAACAGTCACGGAGGATAGGTTTTAGACTTTTAAAACATTGTAAAAAATAATTAATTGCGGTTAAACATCTGGAACCTGAGCTGTAATATCTACTTAGTTATGGAAGATCAAAACACAATAAAAGTGTAGGTCAAACTCATTTGGTTTTATTAAATATCACGGGGTAACACCATCGGGGGACATTTCGTAAGATTCACCCAGATACAAGTTACATCGAGCTGGGAAAATCCATATTTGATCTGATGGAACTCTCACCCTAGGTATAGGTATGCAATCTCCCCTTTACGCTGTCATCTAGTCACCCTCTTGCACTTGTTTCCGGCAAGGCCTTCTACTACCGTTCGTACGCGTATCGCGCTCCAAAAGGGCGCATGCGTTCACTTTTTCTGTCTCCCCTTGTGCCGTCTAACGCAAAGTTGCTAGGCAACGCGTTCCTAACTCTTGCCATAATAATGATTGGTGGCATTGCTCGCCTTACAATGGCTGCCTTACTGTCTACACTCCGCACTCGATAAACACACTATTTACCGCCGCTGTTAAGCCGTCCGCGGGAGGCAGAAGGGGCGGCTAACGCGCCTCCATTGGTCGGCGGACTATTAATGGGTTCATTAAGTTTATGGTTTTGCATGAAGCTTAATTCAATATTCTTGTTGCAGATTGTTTTGAACTCGATGCACCGGTATCAGCCCAGGATACACATCGTCAAATGGAGGGAACATTCAGGACCCATCACGGATTTGGAACAAGAACAATACAAAACTTTCATCTTCCCCGAAACGGTTTTTACTGCAGTGACTGCTTACCAAAATCAACTCATCACCAAACTGAAGATCGATTCGAATCCCTTTGCAAAAGGATTTAGAGATTCATCTAGGCTTACTGACTTTGACAGGTAAGCATTAACAAATATAAATAAAGCTCAAAAAGAAATGTGCAAATCTGAACGAACGTTTTGAATATATATGAGAATTAAGGGAAAAAACTGCGTCTTGCGACCATAAAACTTTTATTTTCATAATTCATGGTTTGCAATCACGGTTATGGCTAACAGTAGCTCCTCGAATTTGCTAGTAATTTCTTTCAGAGTCGTAAAGTCGGCTTTAGAGGCTGTAAAAGAGAAGGAACGCAATGATTACAATTAGTTTCGTTTCGAATACCACCAACACCTTTGGCACGCACTGTACTCCGAACAAGAGTCTTACATGGAAAACAAGTCTTGAACTTTTTCTATAACCTTTGTTTCTTGGCATCGTGTTTAAGTTAATATGGCATGGTTAAGTTAAAACTTTCAAAAGAGGCATATTTTAAGCCAAAAGGTACAATTCTCCAGTTTGGACTTTGCTTTTGCCCACAGTGCCCATGTGGATGACATATGCCCAAAACACATCGGCTCCCGTGCTACTTTTACGGTCAATAAAAAATGTCCGTTATAACAATAAGATAATTACCAGCAAAAAAGCATTTTTACGACCTAAGGCTCGAAAAATCTAATTAAAGTACACGACTGGGCAAAAAACTTAAACAAAAGTATTCCGTTTTGACTCTTAGCTTATAAAAACTGTCAAACGTAAGAATTTAGTGACATCTTTCTCCATTTATCTTGCAGACAGCTTATCCAAGATAATTTGCGAGGTTGCCGCCTTCTCCTTAATTAAATTCAATGCACGCACACCTAGATAACGTGTCTGTTATCACACCTCATCACTGCGTCTTATCTGCTTTCTCATTTCCATATAAAATTGATTCAACCTATTTCCTGTTCTCCTCCTCTCATTAACATCATCAATCATTCCTCAGTCCATTGACAAATTCACTATTTAAAGGGTGAACATATGTCAAAATTAGAACTGTGATTAATTAGTTCGAGTGGCACGAAAGCGCAAGAGTGCATTCGTAACAGTTGTTTGATGTTTAAGTTTAAATTATTTACACCCATTGTGTGACACACTACAGTGCAAATTCGAGGAATATCGAACTTAGGAAATCGATTATTGTGTTTGTAGTTAATGGTCGTTCAAAATAGACCAGACCACACACAAGAATAGACCCACAAATATAGGTACCTCTCTTTGAAGGTTATGTTTTTTAATGGAAAACTTCGTGACACCTTGAACAATTCCGTGCGTTATAATTATCGATCAACTCGATTACAACGGTAATTTTTAAAATGTCCCTTCCGACACGTTTAGTATTACAAGTCGGCAAGATAATTACAGGGCATTAGTAAATTATAAATAGTGCGTTGTTTTTCGATTAAACTCACCGATAATTTGTTTTATTGACCTGCGGTTGAAACAACAACCACTGAAAACGATTCTTAGTCCCAGTCTTTAATTATATGATTAGGAAATGAAGAAGGACCACCTAGAATTATGAGCAATTTTTTATTTAATTGTATTCTTTATTCGGTACAATTGGTATTCTTGATTTGCCTATAGGTATACCTTTTATCTCTAATTCTTAAAATGCTTTCATTTAAATCTAAGCAACTTTATGCCACAACTTATAGTTATTGATTGATTTTGAAGCTTTATTAACAATGAAATCATATCAAAACATTATTCATCCTATCACACAGTGATGATGAATAATGTTTTGATATGATTTGATTGTGAATGAAGTTTGGGACGTTCGAAAACAATTAATAACTTTTGGAAGTCGTAGCAAAGCGTTGCTTTGGGTGATAATGGGAGATGCTCGCTCCGCCTCTAGCCACCGCCAGGGTAAATTCGTAGCACCTAGACCCTAATTAAGGCCCGAGAAAATAAGTGGGATAACACATCGAGAGCGGCAGGTATATACTACAAGAGAGGTGTGAGAAAATACATGTCGGCTTCATTATATCATCAGAACGTTCTCGTGAAGACAACGATTGTCTCAAATTACAGGGCGGCGTATGTTGGAAACGCCCCCTAGCGGCACTGCCGAGATTCACCACAGAGAAGTAAATTAAATTCTAAATGTGCGTTCGGAGCTCGAGGCCCTACGAATTATTACTTATCACTTTCACCTACTTCGGCTTGACCTTTCATTAAAATGCCGACAGTATCAGATGAGGTTTTGCACACTTCACAACATTCTAATTAATTAATTAACAGCTGATGTATTGGACCAACAATTAACCGTCTCTTTTCTTTGCAGAGAACCAATGGACAGTATCTTTATGGACCAGCACTTTCTGCGTTCCTCTTTAAGATTGTACTCGGGCGATACCGTAGACTTAGAAAACAACAACGCAAGCTCTTTCTTCTCTGCCGCGATGGTGGAAAAAGCCCGCGCTCAGCTTCAAATGTGGGGCAGAGCCGGTGCGGGCGCGTACCATCCAAGCGAGCTTCACGCTTTCTTGATGAACAGCTCGCCGAATCAACAAGTCTACCTCGGTCAAAGACCACAAGTACCTCTAGGTTTGTGGTCGCAAGGGGGTGCGTCGTGGCAATCCCCAATGCACGGAGGGTTACCTCCCGGTCTACTAGGGCCCCCTTCGTCGCATAGACCTCAGATGACACCACCTCCATCTTCAACGCCTAGCTCTTCAGGCTCACCAAGCCCTACATCCGTTAATACGTCGTCGGATTTAAGGTTGCCCAAAGCAATGTTCCCATCTGCGATGCATAGGTTTAGCCCCTATGCCAACCCCATGCAAAGACAAGGGTCGTCCTCTGTTAGCCCCACGTCGAGGCCAAGTCACTGATAGCGTTAAGTTGGCTGCAAGCCAAAAATCCTTACCAAAGAGTCTTCATGACGTTAATAACATGGTATATCCAGTGTATATAGTTTAGAGAGTAACTTATTGTATTAAATGGGTAGTGACTAGGAAGTGTACGATACTTACATTTTTTACAGAAAAAATAGCAGTATTATTTATTGTATATATTCCAATTCGGTGTACTTAAGTTCTCCCCGGTTAGAGAGCAAATCATGTTCCTTTATATTTTGATTCTATCATCCTTTGCCCTTATTGTCATTCCTTTTATACAACAACGGGCAAATGATATAGAATCAAAACTTTATTTAATAAAAAAATAGTTGTATATTTTCTAATATATCCCCACTGTCAATTATTTAATTAGTTTCTTTATTATTCACTATGTTAAAAGGAATTGTTGTTGTGTAAATAAAAGTGGACTTGTAAATTAAAATAAATCATTATTGATCCTAACCTCGCTTGTATTATTTACATAACCTTAAACACAAAAAATAAACACAAAGAAGTCGTAAAGGTAAGTAAAATTACTATTTTACTGTTTAAAAAACTGCGAGGAAATTGTTTAATGGTAATAACACTAAAAATAAATATAATAACTTCATGGGTGGTATTTTCCCTTTAGTTAAAATATCAATTTAAAAACCTATTTGGGGAAAAAGAAAAATATAAATGGTCACCACTATTATATGGGATTTCGCGTCATAAATATGAGAAATGATTTTGGTAACAATCTGGTGGAAAAGCCAAAAATCACCCTAATAAATAAAGACGTAATAAAAATTTATATAAATGGAAAAAAGGTTTTCTGTGAGGGGAGAGACAGGTCAATACATTTGTAATTTTAATATGACCAAATTTTCGCAAACAAGCTTATGATACTAAGGTTTTTAATTGAGTTGCAAATTATGACGATTTTTCTTTGTCAAAAGCACATTAAGGAGTCAATTCAGAGCGATAATAGGAAAATACAGTTATAGACCATAGAAAATCAGTGAATCTAATTACGAGTTCCTGCAAGGGTGGCAGGAAAAAGTAGGGGTGTAACCCTGATTTATTGTAATAGTTGTAACGCCTCATTTTAAATTGAGATTTAAATTATCAACCAGCTGATATGTTATGTTAAAGCAGGGTCACCAATAGCCGTAAAATTAAATTCTGCAGAAACTCTTGTGATGTCATTTGATCGTTTAAAACGTTTATTTTTAATTAGGTACTTTGACTATTTATTGTCGTTTTTAATGTTTTGATCTGTGTCAGTATAATGAAGAAAGTTGGCTAAGGAAGATTTTGTCAGCAAAAAACAAATATAGGCCATGTTTCAAATAATTAAATTGTTATGTCTTCACCCGTATCGCGTACTTACATTCTTCAGCGAATATAACAAGTAATGATGTGTAAATTTCGTAATAATAACATCTAGACAAAAAATAATTAGCACAACCTGTGTATTAAATGCGGGCACTGAGCAGCAACAGCTATTTAAAATGAAAAATTACTTTATAATTTATAAATGTACTTGAATGCTAATGTAAATAAATAAGGCAGTAATCATTTGTATACTGTCTGTTTAATTGACATTTAGGTTCTTATCGTATTTTAACACGAAGGCCTTAACAAGAAATTTGCAGTTTGCGTTTGCAGCTTTTTACGTGTGGAATCAATAAGGTTTTCTTTGACACTTTTTGTAACAAGTATGGAAAAAAGTTTAAGAGCATTATCGTATTTATACAGAGTGTTTCACATTCGTGATTCATTAGAAGTTTCTGGGAAACGACATGAAATTTCAAAATCGTTTATAATTATAATTATAATCCGTTTAAGTAAACGACTTTAATATTTTATAAAAAATTGAGTTTAACGCCATTTGGATAATTACTAAGCGAAATCAATTGGTTTAAGTGTTTTTAGCAACTATATATTAGCAAAATTGTAAAATTTAACCCTATAAAAAAATTAAACTTTCCCCAACATTGCAGAAAAGTAGCTGTACCACTTGCAATAATATTCATTACTTAATGCTATTTAAACATCTAAGAGTAAAATAACTTAGTTGAGAATATATTCCAAATATTACAGAAAAAGCCCATTTGTGGTAATATTTAAAAATACAAGTGGTTAAAATAACACCTAAAGTTTGTCCCTTAATTTTGGTCCCCTAGGTCACGTCTCCTGGGTCACAGCTTTTATAAATGACCTTTTGAATTAAGCGCACATTTTTGGTGCTGCCCCCTTGCGGCAATGTATTTAGTAAGTGTTTTAGTACAAAATTGTGTTTTGAACTATCTTGAAGCTACAACACGTTTTTTTGTATTTTAATACCAGCGCGCTGCAGCGTGGCAAAACTGTGCATTCTCCTGTGCCGCAGTTATAAAAAGTTGTAAAGGTACCAGTTGTTTGATTCTCAAAAGAAAGTATCCTAGTAAAGATTTTAAGGGCAAAAATAGAATTTTTTATCTTTAAAACAGTAAAGAGGTTTTGTTCTAAAAACAAGGACAAGAATTTTAAAAATGACCCGCCTTCAACCCAACCAAACCCAAAGTGAATAGTTTTCTAGTTTTTAGTTAGACTTAAAACATTGACAAGCCAAACATTTTAAACATTTAAAAGTTACACAAACAGTATTTTTTAATTTTGAAAAACACTTAACATGTTAAGCTTTGGAAAGCTGTAGGATGTCCACTAGATGAAGCACTAACTCATTGAAGAAAATAAAATAAAAAATTTATTTTATGAAATATTTTAATAACAAAAAAATGCATAACTGTAACAATTTAATAAACCAACAATATTTTATAATGAAGAGTAACGTCTAATATAGATGTAAGAATTAAGAAATGCTTGAATGTAAATGGAGGACCCTTTAAACATTTAGTAATAAAAATTGTTAATTATTAAACAAATTGTTTATAACGACATAAAAATTAACGCCTTTAAATTTTAAACAATGACAGGTTACGTGGTAAGCATAGTCAACTCACCCGTCACAGGTTTCTTGATACAAAATAATATAACTCGGAAAACTATTCAGTTAAGGTATAGGACATGGTATAGTAATTTTATTCCGAATTTTATATAGAATTTAAAAATTTAAAAATATATAGGGTGTTTTTTTTAATATCAAAGTTGATGTCACTACTTTGTTCAAAATATTTTAGAAAAATAGACTTAAATGGATTACAAACGCTTTTAAAATTTCAAATCGATATCTTTTTCCGTTCCCCAGAAACATCTAATGTACTTCTACAATAATTTTCATGACTTGCTCTAACCACAGTATAGAAAGAGCAGTACAGACAGTCCAGGAATGTAGCGCTTGTACAATAGCGCGGCTGTTCGTACTGTTCATCTATACTGTGCCCCAACGTCGTATTTTTATCTACTCATGCACAGCCACTCATTTCTTACGCCACGAACATACAAGCAAATATGATCGCCTCTACAATCTCTAATATTGATTTTCTGTGACGGCATCATCATGTGACCAAAGCGTTTCAAATTTTCAACATTCGTTGGACCAATGAACTAATAAAGAGATTTTCCCATATGGCGCTTGTTTCGTTATTTAACTGTATAATTAGGATTTGTTCTGCCCGCCTTAAAAATGATTAATTATTTTTTTGGAGAATTGCTTTTTAATCTAATACAAAAAAAGTTTAAATTGAGGTAAATAATGCTTTATGAGGTAGCCAATGATGTGTTTGCACAACATATGCTATATATACGAGAACAAAACATTTATTAACCTTTTTTCACAAAAATCTTTATATTTAGTAATAAAATATTTGTTCTTCTTTATTTAATGTTAAAAACATAATTACGCAATGGTCATTAGTAGCGATGAACATTAGCTATCTTAAGGAAAAACAATGAATAAAACATTACGACAACAAAATATAATAATTTTTTATAATTAATTGACGTGCAAAAACTTATTTAATTCTCTTAATGATTTGCAACACGTTACTCGGGTAATTAAAAACCTCTTAATGCTGTCATGTGCATTTAACATTTACATATCAAACTTTTTTCGACGACTTCATGAAGCAAACAGCATAAAATTTAAGAAATATAAATAACGAAAGTTATAAGCATTCTAAAAACTTTATAAATCGAATAAATAAACAACAACATTGTTGGTGAAATTAGCAAAATAAAGAGTTTTTTTATTAAACCTAATTATTATAATGTGTTCATTGGCTGAACATAAAAAGTTATTGATAGTGTGATAACGTTATTGTTAATAATTTACGTTTTGGGTTATGACAAGAAAATAAAGATATTTTTATCGTTGGCTTTCTCGAAGGAAATCGCATTACGTCAGGTGATTTACAGCCACCAATAAATATAAGCGGGCATAACCACATTTTGAAGAGCATTGTTGTCCAACAATCGAAAAAGGATTTACAACTCGAAACCCCAAAATAGGAAAATATTTACACCCCTTTTCTTTCACCGTTTCGCCTCGAAGGGTTCCTCGAGCCGTCACTTTTGTGAGCATCCACTAACGAAATACCTTTTACTGGAATTGACGTCATAAATTTTAAAGTGACGGCGCTGAGAAAAAGTGGAACTAATTCGAAATGTTCTGTCAATATTTTCCAAACACTTCTCGTACGTTTCTATACAACAACTCCCCACGGAGTGTTCTGTTTTTTTTTGTAGGTATTGCATTCACGAAGTCAAAAAATGTTTAATGTGTAGGGTAAAGAGTCCTAAGTGTGAGTAAGTAAGTCTTAAGTATACGCATATATAAAAACAATTTAGATTTTATCCTTTTTGACGAATATTAGATATAAATCTTGAAATTTTAATAGTCGATAAAACTGTCAAAAATAAAAAGAATTTATGAATTTGTATGCTTTAAAGCTCTGTTTTAGACATACAGGGTGTTAAAGTTAAAAAAAGTATGGTCTTGACACTGCTTTTTTATGAGTTTGGTTATTATTATATTTAGATTAAGAAATTTAAAATACAACGTTTTTGTCTTTTACATTTTTTTCTCTCTCTTGTTTATATAATTTTTTTCTTGAAAATTAAACAAGATAGGGAAATAATAGTTTTATTTTAAATTTCTTAATCTAAAAATAATATTAAGGTTAAAAATCAGCAGAGTACCTAAATTTTATTTTTTAGTATGGATGGCCCAGCTGGGTTTAATATATTAAATTTAATTACCTTAAATTAGGTCCTTTAACCATTACTAAAAACCTAAAAGGTTTTATTAAATTCGGCTAAGGAGTTTTTGAATTTTTTTAAGGAATACATATTTTCTATAATTTTACCACACTGTATACACCTATAGGTTTTAAAACTTGGTTTTCGAGATATATCTCGAAAACCAAGTTTTAAAACATATAGGTGCTTATAAACTTTTCTTCTTATACTACTTAAATCTGACAGTGTATGAAGTGAAACGAAATCTAGAGGCAAA